TCAGTATTTTGTAAGTTATCATGTCCCCCCTATCTCTCCTGTCCTCCAGTGTCGTCAGGTTGATTTCCCTTAACCTCTCCTCATAGGACATACCTCTTAGCTCTGGGACTAGTCTTGTTGCAAACCTTTGCACTTTCTCTAGTTTCTTTGTGTGCTAGGTTAGGTATGGGTTCCAAACTGGTGCTGCATACTCCAATATATGCCTAATGTACACGGTGTACAGGGTCCTGAACGATTCCTTATTAAGATGTTGGAATGCTGTTCTGAGGTTTGCTAGGTGCCCATATGCTACAGCAGTTATTTGGTTGATGTGCACTTCAGGAGATGTGCCTGGTGTTATACTCACCCCAAGATCTTTTTCCTTGAGTGAGGTTTGTAGTCTCTGGCCCCCTAGACTGTACTCCGTCTGCGGTCTTCTTTGCCCTTCCCCAATCTTCATGACTTTGCACTTGGTGGGATTGAACTCCAGGAGCCAATTGCTAGACCAGGTCTGCAGCCTGTCCAGATCCCTTTGTAGTTCTGCCTGGTCTTCGATCAAATGAATTCTTCTCGTCAACTTCACGTCATCTGCAAACAGGAACACCTCGGAGTCTATTCCTCCCGTCATGTCGTTCACAAATACCAGAAACAGCACTGGTCCTAGGACTGACCCCAGTGGGACCCCGCTGGTCATAGGTGCCCACTCTGACACCTCGCCACGTACCATGACTTGCTGCTGTCTTCCTAGCAAGTATTCCCTGATCCATTGTAGTGCCTTCCCTGTTATCCCTGCTTGCTCCTCCAGATTTTGCACTAATCTCTTGTGTGGAACTGTGTCAAATGCCTTCTTGCAGTCCAAGAAAATGCAATCCACCCACCCCTCTCTCTCTTGTCTTACTGCTGTCACCATGTCATAGAACTCCAGTAGGTTTGTGACACAGGATTTCCCATCCCTGAAACCATGTTGTCTGCTGTTGATGAGATCATTCCTTTCTAGGTGTTCCACCACTCTTCTCCTGATAATCTTCTCCATGACTTTGCATACTATACATATCAGTGACACTGGTCTGTAGCTTAGTGCTTCATGTCTGTCTCCTTTTTTAAAGATTGGGACTACATTTGCTGTCTTCCATGCCTCAGGCAATCTCCCTGTTTCGCAAAATGTATTGAATATTGTTGTTAGGGGTACACATAGTGCCTCTGCTCCCTCTCTCAGGACCCATGGGGAGATGTTTTCTGGCCCCATTGCCTTTGAGGTATCTAGCTCACTCAGAAGCCTCTTCACTTCTTCCTCAGTTGTGTGTACTGTGTCCAGCACTTGGTGGTGTGCCCCACCTCTCCGTCTTTCTGGAGCCCCTTCTGTCTCCTCTGTGAACACTTCTTTGAATCTCATGTTGAGTTCCTCACATACTTCACAGTCATTTCTTGTTGTCTCTCCTCCTTCCTTCCTTAGCCTGATTACCTGGTCCTTGACTGTTGTTTTCTCCTGATGTGGCTGTATAACAGTTTTGGGTTAGATTTGGCTTTCGCTGCTACGTCGTTTTCATATTGTCGTTGGGCCTCCCTTCTTATCTGTGCACATTCGTTTCTGGCTCTACGACTGCTCTCCTTATTCTCCTGGGTCCTTTGCCTTCTATATTTCTTCCATTCCCTAGCACACTTGGTTTTTGCCTCCCTGCACCTTTGGGTGAACCATGGGCCCATCCTGGCTTTTTCATTATTCCTGTTACCCTTGGGTACAAACCTCTCCTCAACCTCCTTGCACATTGTTGCTACATATTCCATCATCTCATTAACTGGCTTCCCTGCCAGTTCTCTGTCCCACTGAACCCCGTTCAGGAAGTTCCTCATTCCCGTGTAGTCCCCTTTCTTGTAGTCTGGCTTCATTTGTCCTGACCTTCCTGCTCACCCCTCCACTTGTAGATCTACTGCATATTCGAAGCTTAAAAACCACATGATCGCTGGCCCCAAGGGGTCTTTCATATGTGATGTCCTCAATATCTGCACTACTCAAGGTGAATACTAAGTCCAGTCTTGCAGGTTCATCTTCTCCTCTCTCTCTTGTAGTGTCCCTTACATGTTGGTACACGAAGTTTTCCAGTACCAACTCCATCATCTTAGCCCTCCATGTATCTTGGCCCCCATGTGGCTCCAAGTTCTCCCAATCGATTTCCTTGTGGTTAAAGTCACCCATGATCAGGAGCTTTGCCCTGCATGCATGAGCTCTTCTGGCCACTGCAGCCAGTGTGTCAACCATCGTTCTATTGCACTTGTCATACTCTTGCCTTGGCCTTCTGCTGTTCTGTGGTGGGTTATACATCACTGCAATTACCACCTTGGGACCTCCAGAGTGAAGGGTTCCCACTATGTAATCACTTTCTTCTCTGCTGTCTCCTCTCTCCAGCTCATCAAAATTCCATCGGTTTTTGATCAGCAGTGCCACTCCTCCACCCCCCCCTGTTCCCTCTGTCTTTCCTCAGGATCTGGTATCCTGTTGGAAAGATGGCATCTGTTATCGTACCTGTAAGCTTGGTTTCTGTGAGAGCTATGATGTCCGGTGATGCCTCTTTGACTCTTTCGTGCCACTCTTCCCACTTATTTGTTATTCCATCAGCGTTTGTGTACCATACCTTCAGTTTCCTTTCCAACACTGTGGTTTGGGGGGCCTGTGAGGGTGGGAGACCTGGTAGCATACTGTGGGATTCTATAGCTGGGTGTTGGGTGGAAGCTGTGGGTATGGATTGTAGTGTGTGTTGGGATGGTGTGATAGGTTGTAGGGTTCTGAGGATAGTTGTGTGCGCGCGCTTGCCCTTGCTGCTCTGTACCTTTGTACTTTCTCTAACTTCTTGATGTGCTTGACCAGGTGTGGGTTCCAGACTGGTGCTGCATACTCCAGTATGGGCCTAACATACACAGTGTACAGTGTCTTGAACGATTCCTTATTAAGGTATCGGAACGCTATTCTCAGGTTTGCCAGGCGCCCGTATGCTGCAGCTGTTATTTGGTTGATGTGTGCCTCCGGTGATGTGCTCGGTGTTATGGTCACCCCAAGGTCTTTCTCCCTGAGTGAGGTCTGTAGTCTTTGTCCACCTAGCCTATACTCTGTCTGCGGTCTTCTTTGCCCCTCCCCAATCTTCATGACTTTGCATTTGGCTGGATTGAATTCGAGAAGCCAGTTGCTGGACCACATGTCCAGCCTGTCCAGGTCTCTTTGCAGTCCTGCCTCATCCTCGTCCGATTTAATTCTTCTCATCAACTTCACGTCATCTGCGAACAGGGACACTTCAGAGTCTATTCCTTCCATCATGTCGTTCACATATATCAAAAATAGCACTGGTCCTAGAACTGACCCCTGTGGGACCCCGCTCATAACAGGCGCCCACTGTGATACCTCTTCACGTACCATGACTCGTTGCTGCCTCCCTGTCAGGTATTCCCTTATCCATTGCAGTGCCCTCCCTTTTACGTACGCCCGATCCTCCAGCTTCTGCACTAATCTCTTGTGGGGAACTGTGTCAAAGGCCTTCCTGCAGTCTAGGAAAATGCAATCTACCCACCCCTCTCTCTCTTGTCTTACTTCTGTTACCTTGTCATAAAACTCCAGGAGGTTTGTGATACAAGATTTGCCTTCCATGAACCCATGCTGGTTTTCATTTATAATCTTGTTCCTTTCCAGGTGTTCGACCACTCTCCTCCTGATAATCTTCTCCATGACTTTGCACACAATACATGTCAGAGACACAGGTCTGTAGTTTAGTGCCTCGTTTCTGCTTCCTTTTTTAAATATGGGGACTACATTAGCTGTCTTCCATTTCTCAGGTAGTTGCCCAATTTCAAGGGATGTGTTGAAGATTGTGGTTAGAGGCACGCACAGCATCTCTGCTCCTTCTCTAAGGACCCATGGGGAGATGTTGTCCGGTCCCATCGCCTTTGAGGTGTCAAGGTCACTTAAGAGCTTCTTCACCTCCTCCTCAGTTGTTCGTATGTCATCCAACACTTGTTGTTATATTCCCTCTTGATGTTCCCTTCTGTACTGTCTTCCCACAGCCCTTCCTGTCTCTACTGTAAAAACTTTCTTAAATCTCCTGTTCAGCTCCTCACATACCTCCTGATCATTTCTTTTGAGTTCTCCACCTTCTGTCCTTAATCTGATCACCTGGTCTTTGACTGTTGTCTTCCTCCTGATGTGGCTATACAACAGTTTCAGGTCAGTCTTGATTCTCGATGCTGTGTGTGTGTGCGCGTGTGTGTGTGAAGAGAGATCATTTATAAACCTTCCTCTGAAACTTTTCTTTGATAGCTGCAACATAACACACAGGCATAACACTAGACATAAAACCCTCTTTAACATTCCATGTCTGACTCAACCTAAGCAAAAACTAAATGTGCATAAAAGGTCCTAAGATCTGGAATTCATTGCCTGAAGTATCGAAAGATCCCCTGTCTGCCTACTATAATAAAAATAGCAATATGCTATGTCAAAGAAAACTGGTTCATCCAATTCTGTCCCTGTTCTTCCAGCCTTCCTTCAACTCTCAAAAAAAATGGTAACACATCTTGTCCATTGTATTTCTATTGAAACTAAATAACTTCCTTATCTTCACCTTCTCTTTTCAATCACTCCACAAAACTGAAGATAACTGAATCAGTTTAAGATAACAAGTCATACTTTTAAAATTGTGCCATTTGTTTATCAGCTAACTTTCTTATCATACATATGACTGTAGTTAACTACATAAGAAATCCTACTTGACAGTCTGTCTAAATCTCAAGTAACATTTAGGCATTAGGATTAGTGTCCAAAATGCCTTGTAACTAGTGGCTTTCTTTAGTGCCTACCAATGTTATATTACATTCAAATTCAAAAACTTTATTTCTACACGATACATTTTTCAGTACAGAAATGGCTGACACTTGATATGCATGTAGAAAGCCACGGTTATGTAGAGCATAAAGAAATAAATTTTTTTTATTATATATTCACATGCAAAACAAAACAATCACAAACACACAATACATACCTTTTCTAATTGCTCTATTTCACTCCTTCGAGTTTGACCTGAAAAAAAAAAATGAATGCTGTTATGTAAAGATATGGAGTTTGGGATATTGGCAGTTTGGAGAGGTATGTTATATATCTTTTTATATGCTTCTAAACTGTTGTATCTGGGCTCCTCTGCAAAGACAATGATTATGTGTTAGTGAGGTGAAAGTGTTGAATGATGATGAAAGTATTTTCTCTTTGGGGATTTTCTTTCTTTTTGGGTCACCCTGCCTTGGTGGGAGACGGATGACTTGTTGAAAAAATTGAGTAACTGAATACCTTTTATATACACTGAGATGCTGGGAGCAGTAAGGGCAAATTTACATTTGAGCTTTCAGGGGGCCGTCAGGCAAAATTCGTAACTCGTTTGTTTACCGTCCGATTTTCTCCAGTTTTGGTGCACAAGACAAAGTGTTTTCACTCTTTCTTGAAAATATTATCAAAAATATACCTCAAACAACAACTGAGAAGAGACTGATTTACTGAAAATGCCCTTGTGCCCGAAGTCATTCTTATATGGGGCTACGTAAGGTTGTTTGGACACTTGGTGCCGAGAGAACAATGCTAATACTAATTTTGACCGTGTTCTCGCCTCGAAATAACTTATCGTTATTTCACAAAAAAATAAAGTTTGTTAGTTTCTGGAATATTGCAAAAAAATCTGCCCTTTACTCCCACATAACTCCCAAAGTATTTGGAATATTTCCAAAAATTTATCGGTGAAAATAAGAGAAATCATTATTCTACAATGTCTGTGAATATTATTCCATTTAATTAAGTAATAAAGGAAGCACTTCGGACTTTAGGTGAATAAGTTACTTCCGAGATATCGGCCGGGAACGCCGGCCAGCCCCCGTCTCAAAAAAAAAAAAAAAAAAAAAAAAATAGCGAAAATCGCGTTTGTTTGGGTGTATTTCTTAGTAAACTGATGTTCTAGTGCAGTTATCCTCTTCAAAACACCGTTTTCTCTTACTCAGAGACCAAAGAATACAACATGGAGAGGAGTAACTCATTATTTATCGAAATATTCCCGATAATCTTTCGTCATATTATGGCCTATTTTATTCAATCTAGAGTATATAACATGTTTGTATGTTATTTATCGTGTTTATTATATCATATTAGATCAATTCTGATAGACAAATAAGCCGTAGAGTTGATATATAAGTGTAATAATGAGTGATTTCTGCTGGCATTCTCGGGAGCAGGAACACTGCCAAGCGTTCCCGTCTGGTTCCTGGTTGTCTCTAAGTCTACGGATAAGCCCCACCTACTGTTTTATGATGCCAAATAGTCAGTTATTATATTAGAAAGAATAATGCAAGAAAAAGCGATAGAAAACAAGGAAAAAACTCCAAAAAATATACGGGCCGTGAGCAGACTCGCTACCCACATCGCCGTCACCATACCTGATATAAATGACTATAATTTCTTGTAGATACGTCGTAGAACATTCATTCTGGTACCATTGTGTTGCCAAAGAGTTGAGCTATTTTTCAGTATATATAACTCAATTTCCATATTTTTTTTATTTTTGGGCGAGCGCGCGCAGAAATTTGCCCTACAGCCCCCTTCAGGAATAGGATGCCTTCAAGCTATTGCATGTAAAATAAATCTAATTTATATTAATGTTTAAATTCATAAAAAAAAAAAATGTTTGAAAGCACTCTTTATTTAGATCCAGATATGAAGATCACTCTTATTTTTTAGTACTACCACATGGGTCATTTCTCACTAAGGCTGGGTGACCCAAAAAAGAAGAAACACTTACATCATTCACTCCATCACTGACTTGCCAGAGGTGCACCTACACTACAGTTAAAAAGCTGCAACAGCAACACCCCTTCTTGAGAGTGCAGGCACTGTACTTACCACCTCCAGGACTCAAATCCAGCTTGCCAGTTTCTCTGAATCCCTTCATGTTACCCTGCTAACACTCCAACAGCACGTCAATTCATAAAAACTGTTTCCACTCCTATGGGGGGAGGCACAAATACAGATATTTTTTCGTCCTAATTATCTAATTTAAATGAAATTTTTACTGTGATTTCAACAGCTTTTGAAACCTGCATGCTATTATTATGAAGACTGCCTTGAAAATTAAAATAAAATTATTGGCCGTTTTATGGGGTATTTTTCAATACTTGTAATGCAAAACTGGGTTGATAGAGACAATGTTCTAGTTGATCTCATAGGAAAGATAAAAGCCACATTATTAAAATCAAATAAAGTGCTAAACCAACAAGAGTCATGCAGTGCTGTGGGGCAGAAAATAGTGCCAGGCCTAGAAACAGCTAGGTAGAGAGGGGATCAGAGGTGAGGGGAAGAAAGGGCTGTGTGTCAAAGTTCGTACAGTAAAGCAGTTGCTGACAAAAAGTCAAAAAGTGATTGTAAATCAAAGGCAGGGCAGTCTGCAAGAAGGAAAGATAAGGTAAGAGCAGTAAGGCGGTGGCATTGGCAGCGTTGGTTTACCTGCAAGCTCGCTTGTAAACTGTACAGTCCACAAGAAATTTAAGAACCGAAACAAGGACCCGACAAACTTCACAGACAGGAACAGGGCATCGTTCCATGACATACCCATGGGTAAGGCAAGTATGGCTGATGTTGAGATGAGAGAGCGCAGTCTCCCAAGTACGGCAATGGCGGTAAGAAGATGGCCACAAACCTAAAAGCGGTTTAATAGAGAGCAATTTGTCATGGTGCATGTTCGACCACCATTGTTGCCAACAGCAGTGAAGATAGGCAGAGATGACTGTAAAATAGTCCCTGAATGGAATACTTCTATAGAAACCGAAAGATCACATACCACTGACCGCACAGCAACATCCGCTTGTTCATTGCCCTGCACAGCAACATGTCCAGGGACCCAACAGAAAACGACATCTTTGGTTTTGCTACCTACTTGGTGCAAACAAAGCACTGAGGGAATCTGAAATGATCACAAATGCCCAAGGAGACATATATGTAATACGGAGCAGCACTATGAGGATGGCATACAACTCCGCGGTAAAAATACTTGCCAAGTCCTACAAATGACCCTGGACAACAGTCAGGGAACACCACAGCGAACCCAACACTGTCAGAAGATTTAGAACCATCTGTATAAACAGCAATGGCATGAGCATGTAACCGGAAGTGATCAAGAAAGAGAGCGAGAAGCAGCCTTAGGAAGGAGAGCCTTGGTGCAAGGCAGTAGGGGAGAACAGACACGAACCATCGGAACATCCGGAGGGGGAAGGGAAAAGGCAGAAGATACGTAAACACACAAGGGAGTTAACTGGAGAGAAGACCAGAGTGAGTGAAGACAGAGAAAATGGTCGAAGTAAGCAGGGACGCCAAACAAATAACGGGCTTCTACTAACGTCATGATAGTGAGCAAAGTAATGAAGGTAATAAGCATCATGATGATCAACTAAGGAAGGAACATTCGCCTCAACATAGAGGCTTTCAACAGGGGGTGAACGAAAGGCACCAAGGCATAAACATTGACCCTCAATCGATCCATCAATTTTTATTTCCTTGCAAGATTACATTGATTATGAAATTACAAAAATGAGTTGCAGTGCAAAAGCCACTATCATGCCTAGGCATTACGGGCAGACTTAATTTAATGTTTTACAGACTACTTAATACTACAGAAATTGAACATAGTTTGCTTAATTGTAGACGAATGGTTCAGAGAACCGACACGTTTAATTTATCAACGTGTTGGTTCTCTGAACCATTCGTCTACAATCCTGTCAGGCACTAACTTCTTGGAATCTTAATACTTGGGAATTCTTCACTTGCCTAACCCTTGGGCATGACCTACTTCCACATTGAACAAATGTGACACTACCTATGTCTGCTGCACCTCTCCTGCCTACGGTATATAAGCTACTTCTCGGCACATATGCTGTATTCTATTCAAGATTGATGGACTGACCACATCGACTCAAGGTTGAGGGACTGATTACCTCATTTTTCTCCTGTTCTTCACGATTCTCCTTTGTATGAACTGATGAAGCCACTGTATGGTGAAGCATTTCCTCAATAAAGATACCCAAGAGTTGCACATGTGTCTAATTTATCATAGTTTGCTTAAGTTGTACATTGTTTATTTATAGTACACAGTAATTTTACTCAAATTACAATAATTTCAATATTAAATATTGAAATTATATTATGGGAATATAACATTTTGAGTTGTTGAAAATAGTTTACAATATGAGAATGCTACAATTGGGTAGTAATGTTCTGGGTAGGTATTTATACTACAAGGTAGTTTTAATCAATGAATGAACTTTGGGCATCATGTTTTGAAGTTTTAAGATTTAGGTAATTGGGAGATTTTTTGGTGAAGTTAAATATTGTGTATTTAGTTTAGGGTGAATAAGTGGTTTTTGAGAAGTGCCTTATATTGATTCACGAAATCATAATGACACGATTGCAAACAAACCATACCAGTGGCTAACGTGACAGTCTGGAGTTTTGAGACTCTGATTGCGGGTTCTAACCCTGCCAGCGGTATGGTTTGTCTTAAACTGATGTTCAAAATGGGTTACTTTAGTATTTACTGGTAATGAATTCCAAATTTTGGGGCCTTTTATGTGCATAGAGTTTTTACACAGTATGATATGGACAGTGGGTACATCAAAAAGAGATCTGTGTCTTATGTTAAGGTTGTGTGATCTGTTAAGGTTGGTGAGAAGTTTGATTGTAGGGTTTATGTTTGAGTGTAGTGTTCTACATATGTAGTAAGCACATAAGTATGGACGTTCTTTATGGTGAGCAGTTTTAGACTTTTGAATATTGGTGGAGTATGCTGTTGGGAATTTATCATCATTCTGACTGCAGTCTTTTGCTGGGTTATTAGTGGCCTTAAGCGATTTGTTCTTGTTGATTCCCATGAAAAAATCCCATATGTGAGATAAGGGTAGATGAGTGAATGATACAGTGCAAGGAGAGCTGATTGCGGAACATAGTACCGTATCTTTGATAGCATGCCTACTGTCTTAGAGATTTTCTTGAAAATTTGTTGTGTGTGTCTGGAATTTGACGCTACTGTCAAGGTGGATTACTAGGAATTTTCCCTCTAAGTCTTGTGATGGGTGATCCATTTAGTGTTATGTTAAATGGAACATTTGCAGCTCCATTTCCAAACTGAATGAGATAGGTTTTGTCAGTGTTGAGGGTAAGCTTATTAGTCATCATTCAGATGGATATTTTTTGCAATTCAGCATTAACAGTGTTGGCCAGTATAACTGGGTTTGGGTGAGAGAAGACATATGTAGTGTCATTTACAAATAATATGGGTTTGAATAATTGTGATGCATTCGGTAGGTCACTGATGTAAATGAGAAAGAGGAGTGAGCCAAGGACACTTCCTTGTGGAACACAGACTGTAATTGGTCGAGTGAGAGAGTTTGTTCCATTTGTGTACACATACTGGCTTCTGTTACTAAGGTATGACTTTAGGTAGTTGAGGGAGTGCCCTCTTATACCATAGTGTGGTAATTTCATGTGCAGTAAATCATGGTCGACAGTATCAAAAGCTTTACATAAATTAATGAAGATTCCCGGTGGGACTTCTTTCTTCTCAAGAGCAGTGTATATTAGTTCTAGCATGTGCATAATAGCATCATTTGTGTTTTTATTATTCCTGAACCCAAATTGACAGGGGTTTAGTATGCTGTGTGAGACAAGGTAGGAACAGATCTGTCTATGATTAATTTTTCAAAGATTTTAAAGAACAAAAGTAAGTTAGAAATTGGTCTATAGTCATGCGAGTCATGGTGACCCTCGCTATTTTGAGAAATGTACCAAAAGCTTTTTGTACATAAAAGGTGGTAAATTATTTGTGTCTCCTGCCTTGTTTTTAAGGGTGTTGATAACCGAGACTTCTGTTGGGTTGGTTGGGGCTAGGAATAGTGTATTCGGGTAGGTGCCCGTGAGGTAGTCTGTTAGTTAGTTTAATATGTTTATTATGCACCCCATACCCATCCTGTGGGCGGTAGTCAAAAGATTACAGAGGTACATAATGGGTCCAGGGACTGGACTCCAAAGTTTTGATAGCTGAGCAAGTTACAGAGGTAATGAACTCACAATTTACGAAGGTAATGAACTCACAATTTACGAAGGTAATGAACTCACAATTTACGAAGGTAATGAGTTCCAGGTAGGTCTGGTCACAATCATGACAAGTTACAAAGGCATTTACAGATTACAGAGGTATGTAATGGGTCCAGGGATTGGGGCCCCAAAGTTTTGATAGCTGAACTAGGTACAAAGGTAATGAGCTCACAAGTTACAAAGGTAATGAATTCTGTAAGAATGGTTACTTACGTTTATACATGGCTACAATCATGAACAAATTATAGTGTAATGAGCAATTCACACTTCCACACCCGGTCACAACTGAAATGAGTTATTGGTGCAAATATTGATTGTTGAGTCACACACACACACACACACACACACACACACAACCACAAATAGGTGAGTACACACACACACACACACACACACACACACACACACACACACACACACAGACACACACACACACAGACACACACACACACAGACACACACACACACAGACACACACACACAGACACACACACACACAGACACACACACACACACATTTTAGTTTAATATCTTTATTATGCACCCCATACCCATACTGTGGGTGGTAGTCACCACATACCCATCCTGTGGGCAGTAGTCAAAAGATTACAAAGGTACATAATGGGTCCAGTGACTGGACTCCAAAGTTATGATAGCTGAACTAGTTACAAAGGTAATTAACTCCAGGTAGATCTGGTCACAATCATGGCAAGTTACAAAGGTAACGAACTCCAGGTAGATCTGGTCACAATCATGGCAAGTTACAAAGGTAATGGACTCCTGGACGGGTGTTTGACATTGGGATTTTGCTCACTAGATTCCTTCCTATAGTGGAGAAGAAAACATTGAGTCTGTTTGCTGTTTCAGTTGGTGGAAGTAAGGGTTCATCTGATTTTGTTAATCTGATTGTTTTGTTTTTGGATATCTTTCTAGTTCCTATAATTTCGTAAAGGGTTTTCCAGGTCGTTTTCATATCACCTTTTATGTTATGTAATCTGTTTTCGTAATACAATTTTTTTGACGTTCTTATGAGACTGGTAAAGACTGATGAGTAATGTTTAGAATGGTCTCTAGTTATTTGACCCATTCTGTACTGTTTTTCATAGAGGTGCTTTGTGTTAATGGATTTAAGGATGCTGGGTGTTAGCCAGGGATTCTTCAGTCTCTTAACTGTGATCTGTATAATTTTTTAGGGCAATGCGGGTTATAGAAGCAGTGTTGCTGGGGATTGGGCACAAAATGTGCATGTTCCTGCTAATCCCAGATGCAGTCTGTTGATGGCTCCTGGATATTACCAGCTGGTTGTGGTTATGCATCTAGTGGTTGTGTGTGGGTAGTGGTGACTGTGGGTTGTTGTGATGTTAAGCATGAACCACGACTCCCAGCCTGGGCTGGCACTGGTGTTCAATTCACCTTGGAATGAGGGTTTTCAGACTGTGCAGAACAGTAAACAATGAGTACTAAATATGGCATTCCCAATTTACTGTATACTGCACGAACCCATTCTCTCATATGTAGGCCTACCAGGCTCCTTGCACTAAATATGAAGCCACTAGAATTTACGGATCGTTCTGTCAGAGACCCTGAGTTCAATGACATTGATCTCTGTGGACAGCAAAAAGAGCTAATACAGTATAATAGACATTATATAATCTGCAAGCAGGACTGGTTTAACCCTTGGAGGGTCCAAGCCCTAGATCTATGCCTTGTCCACAGGGCCCAAGCCATAGCTCTAAGCCATGAGCTCAGCTCACTCAGGCAAACTGTCAGTGGTAAATTTGAGCATAGATATAAGAGAATGGATCTATGTGGTAAGTGTGCACCATATAAAACAAATTCTGCAGCATGCTGTGTATGAGGAAAAAAAACAGACTGGATTAAAACATCGACTTTGCAGTGTATTTTTGTATGGTTTTTACCGTCATATTTGTGGTTTCTTGGTTTCTTTTGATAGAATGGAAGATATATTACAGAAATAGAGATGATTTTGACTAATTTTAGTACTGGAAATGGATTGAAATTGAGCTGAAAGTAGCAGAAATGTTCGATTTTTGCCAGTGTTCAAGAGTAAACAAATGATGTCACGTGTCCAATACAGATCAACTGGTAGGTCTAATATACGTTCACAAATGTGCTAAAATTATTTATACACTTATTACAATATTGCATAACAGTAAATCTTCTATTTTTTTGGTGTGAATAAAAATTCTTTATGTAAATAAAAAAAATAAAAATAGAATTCAAATGTAAAGCCTGGAAATGTAACTAATAAACAGAGGAAATGTTATTTTAGTACCAGGAGTGTCTGCATGGTTTATTCTGGACCCTATTTTGAAATTGGAATATTTTGAACTTTGGGTAAAATTGGCCAAATTATCAATTTCTGATATATGACTACAGTAGTAAGGTCCCTAGAAGGGGTGACAAATGTAAATACAATACAGGAGGTCCCTGCTTTGCAGTGTTTCACTTTATGGCATTTCGCTAATACAGAGGTTTTCAATTATACCCATTCTTCATTTATTCAGGCTTCCTACAACTCACTATAAGCTAGGTACAAAAATACTTTAAGGCAAGTAATGTGTGTACTGTATACGCATTTTTCAGGCCTAGTTCTATTGCTCACATAATATATGATATTGTAAACATGCTGTCAGGTTATGTTTCATTTTTGCAATGATTTTCACTTACAGTAGTAGCCTAGAACCTAACCTGCTGCATAAGTGGAGCCTGGAACCTAACCTGCTGCATAAGCGGAGCCTGGAACCTAACCTGCTGTATAAGCAGAGCCTGGAACCTAACCTGCTGTATAAGCAGAGCCTGGAACCTAACCTGCTGCATAAGCAGAGCCTGGAACCTAATCTGCTGCATAAGCAGAGCCTGGAACCTAATCTGCTGTATAAGCAGAGCCTGGAACCTAACCTGCTGTATAAGCAGAGCCTGGAACCTAACCTGCTGTATAAGCAGAGCCTGGAACCTAACCTGCTGTATAAGCAGAGCCTGGAACCTAACCTGCTGCATAAGCAGAGCCTGGAACCTAACCTGCTGCATAAGCAGAGCCTAGAACCTAACCTGCTGTATAAGCAGAGCCTGGAACCTAACCTGCTGTATAAGCAGAGCCTGGAACCTAACCTGCTGTATAAGCAGATCCTGGAACCTAATCTGCTGTATAAGCAGATCCTGGAATCTAACCTGCTGTATAAGCAGATCCTGGAACCTAACCTGCTGTATAAGCAGAGCTTGGAACCTAACCTAATGTATAAGCAGAGCCTGGAACCTAACCTGCTGTATAAGCAGAGCCTGGAACCTAACCTGCTGTATAAGCAGAGCCTGGAACCTAACCTGCTGTATAAGCAGAGCCTGGAACCTAACCTGCTGTATAAGCAGAGCCTGGAACCTAACGTGCTACATAAGCGGAGCCATCCTGTATGTACCATAATAACACACTTTGATGTTACAGTAACCTATTCCTTATAATTCTGAAAATATAAACACTGTAAAGCAAAGTTTTATTAAATAACAATAATGTTTTTTTTTTTTCAACAAACCGGCCATATCCCACCAAGGCAGGGTGGCCCAAAAAGAAAAACGAAAGTTTTTCTTTTTCAATTTAGTAATTTGTACAGGAGAAGGGGTTACTAGCCCCTTGCTCCCTAAATAACAATAAATAAGCACTAAATACAAAAAGACTTACTGAGTACCAAGGCACAGATATCTGTAGTCATGTCCACAATGTAGGGATAGAGGCGACTCGTGATAATGTACAGAACAATTTCACCATTTGGGAAAGCGGGAGGAGACCACGCAATTTCCATCCAGGTGGCTCCTTTGTGTATCACCTTGAGGTTACTGGGACTGCTTGGGTCTGAGGTGAGGGATCAACATTAGTGAACTACAAAAACATCAAATTCAGAAATTAGTCTCTATGTTCAGGGAACTATTTAATATTTCCCTCACTTCTCTGATATTAAATAATTTTGTCATTTTATATTGGATAATAAATTAAACAAAATTAAAGTTCATTTAAGAAACGTAAGAATAGGTACACCTACTGTAAGGATTAGTTTTTATATAACTGATGTTCGACTTGGCACCTTTGTCAGCATCAGCAACTGTGTCAGTCTGTACATAAACAGCATATGATGTGTCTGGTTTCAAGCCCTCCAATCGAGTACTTATATTCACTTCTGACCTGGTGATTTCTACATATTTTCTGGACCAGTCACTGTAATACATTAAGTATATAAATACTGCATATTAGTTAAATATTTAATTAGTTAAGAATGATAACAGCAATGTGGCATTATAAAAAATTATCAAAAACTATATTCCAGTATTTCATTGGCTATTTAACTGTAGATATATCAGAGGTATTTCCTATGTAAGAGGCACTACTGCTCCTAGGCAATATTTTGTGTTTCAGACTGTTCCACTCCTACAGTTACTACAGAAAGCTTTACCCCTCTTCAATTCTTGCTGTAACTCTGGCAATGACCTAGAGAAACCTTGGCAAAAATGCTGACCTTGCCTAGGAGAACTCCAACCTTGGGTTCAAGTAAACCTACTGGTAAGGAGGTAAGAGGGATGTCCACAGCTGAAAGGTTAGTTATGTCCAAAAAGTTTAGGCCTCAAGTTTTAAAGGTTGCCCATAATCTAGAGTCTGACAAAATGGGAAATAGACTAAAACTGAAACTATTTCCCCCATAAGAAATAATGTAAATCCAATTAATCCATTCCAGCCACCCAAAAGTATTAACAAAAAATATTTTTTTATACATTAAATATAATTTTTTTATTATTATTATCACACTGGCCGATTCCCACCAAGGCAGGGTGGCCCGAAAAAGCAAAACTTTCACCATCATTCACTCCATCACTGTCTTGCCAGAAGGGTGCTTTGCACTACAGTTTTTAAACTGCAACATTAACACCCCTCCTTCAGAGTGCAGGCACTGTACTTCCCATCTCCAGGACTCAAGTTCGGCCTGCCGGTTTCCCTGAACCCCTTCATAAATGTTACTTTGCTCACACTCCAACAGCACGTCAAGTATTAAAAACCATTTGTCTCCATTCAATCCTATCAAACACGCTCACGCATGCCTGCTGGAAGTCCAAGCCCCTAGCACACAAAACCTCCTTTACCCCCTCCCTCCAACCTTTCCTAGGCCGACCCCTACCCTGCCTTCCTTCCACTACAGACTGATACACTCTGTAAGTCACTCTGTTTCGCTCCATTCTCTCTACATGTCCGAACCACCTCAACAACCCTTCCTCAGCCCTCTGGACAACAGTTTTGGTAATCCCGCACCTCCTCCTAACTTCCAAACTACGAATTCTCTGCATTATATTCACACCACACATTGCCCTCAGACATGACATCTCCACTGCCTCCAGCCTTCTCCTCGCTGCAACATTCATCACCCATGCTTCACACCCATATAAGAGCGTTGGTAAAACTATACTCTCATACATTCCCCTCTTTGCTTCCAAGGACAAAGTTCTTTGTCTCCACACACTCCTAAGTGCACCACTCGCCCTTTTCCCCTCATCAATTCTATGATTCACCTCATCTTTCATAGACCCATCTGCTGACACGTCCACTCCCAAATATAGTTTTACATGCAGAAAAGAATGAGAAATTAAGTGTAAAACAATAACATGACACTTACCTTTATTGAAGACTCTTGTTGGTGTATGGTAGACAGGGAGGAGGAGAGAGGGAGAAGTCACTATTGTTTGGAAAGGGAATCCCCTTCCATAAAGACTTTAGGTAACAAGTCCTTATCCTGGGTTACTTCCCTCTGTTTTTTTAATAGCACTAGGACCAGCTTGAGTCACTGAACCCCTGTCACACAAAAAATTGTTCCAGAGAGCTCTGTTTCTGGCATCTCTCTAAAATTTGCCTAAAATGGGACATAGCATTGTCATTGTGCATGTTGCCGACACAGCTTGCAACAGCTTTGCTAGGGTGATGTTCTTCCATAAATGTTTTCACCCTACTCCACACTGCATAAATCTCCTTAAACTCTGAAGAAGGCACCTTCTTCTTTTTTCTTTCTCTCTCTCCCCTTTTTTTTTTTTTTTTTTTTTTTTTTTTTTACACAGGGTTTGACAAGGTTAAGGATCCCTAGCTTTATTGACAGCTATTTACAGGTTAAGGATTCCTAACTTTATTGGCAAGCTAAGAGCTGTTACCTACATCAGCTCATTTGAAAGCATTTTTGTTATGAGACATACAAGTAGGGAACAGGATGAAGTTGGAGCCATCTGTGGGACAGCATTTTCATTTGATCAACTGACTATCTCATTGACATCATTATGCTGTACGAATGTGTTCCATACTCGAGTCGTCCTGGGTATGTATGATCTCAGATGGAGTGATGTTCTGGATGTTCTGGAGAAGAGTACAGCCAGAGTGAAGTTGCTGCTTTCTGCCCGTCTTGTGGCATAAAAGCTTGTTTCACACTGTCCTCGAAGTGGATCCAAGTGTGGTATTTTGACAATATTGGCCTTGTACATAACAGTAAGGCCACCCACATCCCTCCTATGTTGAAGGCTCTGCTGAAATGACAGATCTATCCAGGATGGGTCCAGGCGAGAGATGAGACGTCTTGCTCTGTTCTCTACTCTGTCAAGCAGTCGCAGATGAGAGGGGGGGCAGGCAAACCAAGAAAGTGGAGCATACTCAAGGTGTGAGCGTACTTGTGCCTCGTACAGGATCTTACAACCCCTACTTTCAAGCAGATGCGAGATACGGCGAAGTGCTGTAAGCTTCCTGGCTGCCTTGTTTGCAAGATTTACAACATGGTTCTTCATGGTTAGTTTGGAGTCAAATTTCACCCCAAGGATATCAACTTCTTCTCCAGGTGCCAACATCCTCCCATTCATCCTTACTACTGCACCAGCATTACCATCATGGTGCCTAGAGACGATCATCATTTGCGTTTTCTCAGGTGCAAATGTTACTTGCCATCTATTTCCCCAAGCTGATATAGCTCTCAGCTGGTGATTGATGTAGCTTAGAACAGCTGGCATTTCTTCTCTTGGATAAGTGAATGTCAGTGTACAGTCGTCTGCATATGCATGTGATTCTGGGATGAGATGAAGAAGGTCATTGAAGTAGACATTCCATAACAGTGGACCCAGCATGCTTCCTTGTGGAACGCTTGCCCCAATAGGATGCCTTGCTGATTCCGTTCCATTGAGGACTACACTTAGAGATCTACCATGAAGGTAATCAATGAGGAAACATAGCGTAGAGCCTACAATTCCCAGTGCTTGAAGTTTTGCTAAGAGGCCCTGGTGCCTCACCCCGGTCGAAAGCGCCAGCAATGTCCAGTGCTACCACACAGCTGACTTTGGATTCATGCAGTGACTGGTGCCACTTATTGGAGAGGTTTAACAACAGATCAGCAGCAGAGTAACCTTTCCTGAAGCCATATTGACGATCACAAAGTAGTGAGTGGTAGTCAAAAAAATCTGTCATTTGTCTTGAGATTATTGTCTCAAGGATCTTACCAGTGATTGACAGGAGTGACACTGGTCTGTAGTTGCTGATTTCTGCTCTGCTCTTCTTTTTGTGAACAGGGACTACATTTGCCTCTTTCCATGGAGAGGGCCATTTACACTGTACTAGGCAGTGCTGAAAGATGCGAGTTAGAGGTGCTGCTAGCTGGTCTGCACATCTTCTCAACAATCTTGGGCTCAACTTGTCTGGGCCCACAGCCTTTTCTTGGTCAAGTGATTTAAGAAGGAAATGCACCTCCTCCTGCCTTATTGTCACCACTGACAGTTTTGACACAGTTCGTGCAGCTAGCCAAGGAGGGTCCCTTGCTGGATCAGGAACTTGCATTTTGGTAGCAAAGTGTTCAGCAAAGAGGTCCGCCTTCTCTTGACTACTAGTAGAGGTGGTCCCATCCTGTCGATTTAGAGGTGGAATAAGTTCATCTCTCTCTCTCTCTCTCTCTCTCTCTCGGTCTCTCTCTCTCTCTCTCGGTCTCGGTCTCGGTCTCTCTCTCTCTCTCGGTCTCTCTCTCTCTCTCGGTCTCTCTCTCTCTTGGTCTCTCTCTCTCTCTTTCGGTCTCTCTCTCTCTCTTTCGGTCTCTCTCTCTCTCTCTCTCAGTCTCTCGGTCTCTCTCTCTCTCTCGGTCTCTCTCTCTCTCTCGGTCTCTCTCTCTCTCTGTCTCTCCTCTCTCTTCTCTCTCGGTTCTCTCTCTCTCTCTCTCTCTCTCGGTCTCTCTCTCTCTCTCGGTCTCTCTCTCTCTCTCGGTCTCTCTCTCTCTCTCTCTCTCTCTCTCGGTCTCTCTCTCTCTCTCTCTCGGTCTCTCTCTCTCTCGGTCTCTCTCTCTCTCGGTCTCTCTCTCTCTCGGTCTCTCTCCTCTCGGTCTCTCTCTCGGTCTCTCTCTCTCGGTCTCTCTCTCTCGGTCTCTCTCTCTCGGTCTCTCTCTCTCGGTCTCTCTCTCTCGGTCTCTCTCGGTCTCTCTCTCTCGGTCTCTCTCTCTCGGTCTCTCTCTCTCTCTCTCTCTCGGTCTCTCTCTCTCTCTCTCTCTCTCTCTCTCTCTCTCTCTCTCTCTGAAGCATTTTCCTCAGCTGTGCTCTGTTGCTGTTGCCAATGAAGCTCTTGCAGCTCTTCAGTGTTTAGCTCTTCAATGTGGTTATCCACCAACTCTTCCACATCCTGGCCACTCACATCCAACCCCATGGAAATCCCCAGTGCCACAAAACATTCCAGAACAGGTGTAGGGTCAGCCTCAAACCCCTCAAAATCCCTCTCTTGGACACATTTTGGCCACAATTTTCTCCAAGCAGAGTTCATCGTTATGGAAGTGATGGACATAGACTCATTAGAGAGCATACAGAGAAGAATGACTAAAATGATTTACTGTGTAAGGAACCTCCCGTATGAAGATAGACTTAAAGCCTTAAATCTCCACTCTCTGGAGAGGCGTAGAATGAGGGGAGATATCATTTAAGTGTATAAGTGGATGACGGGCATAAACAAGGGAGACATTAATAAAGTACTGAGGGTGTCGAACCAGGTAAGAACCAGGAATAATGGATTTAAGTTGGATAAATTTAGATTTAGAAAGGACATAGGTAAGTACTGGTTTTCTAACAGAGTTGTAGATGCGTGGAACAGTCTTCCCAGTGGGGTGATAGAGGCTAGGACCTTGGGTAGCTTTAAGAAGAAACTGAAAAAATATACGAGTGGGAGGGGCTGGGTTT